CAACAGATTTGCACAAAACTTGATATCCTAAGGTTTTTTGGGCTGCTAAATTCGAATCTGTTGTCAAAATTGCAAAATTTAAAATGGCGGATCCAATATGGCGACTATTAATTGTTAAAACGACTAAAATATTGGAGTTAGGTAAAATATGTATAAGATCTTATTTGTAGAGCTTATTATGAGCTTCATTTTTTGTTTGACAACTTTTTCCGTACAATCAATACTTTCTGAAATAATTAACAAAAACAGTTTTATTTTTTAATCTTTGAGGGGGGCTGGGGGCGGAGGAGGCATTTGCGCCAAAAATCCATTTGGAAATATTATTTACTAGATAAAATAAGTATTTAGGCTGAATATAAGCCAAATCGGAGGTGATAGCTTTTTGGAAGTCCACCCCCTTTTTTGATGCATTTTACTTTTGATTGGAAAATCGTACTAAACATTTTCAAAAATCATTGTTCTTGTTTTGAAACGTCCTTTTAAATGATCCCCACTCGACCCGTAGTGCCATTTAACATTTTTCACCTCTATTCTGCCCCTCAGGGCGTGGGAGAAGGAATTCATACCCATTCCGAAAAGTTGCTTTTTCGAAAACTTTGAACCCATGTTTCACCGTTTTTCGATATTTTAACTTTTGGCTCTTACCACTTTTGGCACAAATCTTTCGGAAATATCTACCACTCAACTGGTTAAGATAAGATACATAGAGATGCAACTGTTCTTAATGTCATGTCAATATTCTGTTTTGCAATATACTTCTAAGTTTAACAAATGTTTAATTAATTCTGCAAAATAACATTCAATACAAGTAAATTAAATACGTGATAAAATTTTTTTTATTTTTCTCAAAGCTTTTTGTGTTTCTTAGTTACAAATATTAATAACAAGATGTTGTTTAAATAACAATATATCATTGTTTTTAATTTCGCTAAAAACATTTTCTCATACAGCATAAGACTGTTAACCAAAAGTCTTATGCGAAGACTGCTTTACCCAATAGTCTTCTTTCATAATCTTGTCAATTAATAACTAATAACTTTTTCATTTTTGTTTTCTTTTTGATCTTATTAATACTAACAAAAGAAATGTAATTTGTTTCAAGTGCCGCTTTTGACACAATCGTCGATCCATTTGTCTACGTCGACTGTTGAATCAATCCAGCATAAAATAAAAATTATCAAAAACAATACGTCAGATACAAACGTCAGAAACTTGACAAAGTAACTGATGGTTATAAATCGATTACGCATGTTTTGCAATCACAATTCTTCCATATCCTCGTTAAGATATAAATTAGTTGGAAATTTTTTCCCGAATGTATAGTTTTCCGGCAGACAGTGATGCTTACGACAATAATAATTCTGGTTACGTTCTGTGTGACACAATGTTCCATCTGGAAAGTATGGATTCACGCCATTAGCGATCATTTCTATGCGTGGTGCGTAATAAGGAAAGTAAATAGGAAGATTCTTTCGTTGACAAAATATAGTACACGCCATCCATGATCTATCGTTGTAATAAGAACCTTGCCATCCTGGCTCTGATTTCAGTTCTGACATAATATCGCTGAATTCAGTGCATTTTATTGTAGTAAACTCGGCGATTGCAATGCGTTTCTCACTACAGAGTAAAGAATCATCGCACAGAACCACGTCGTAATATGGTCCTATGCAATTCATCGTTCTGTCAGTTCCATGCTTGCAAGAACGTCGTTTGGCTACCACGCCTTTGGATTGTGCCAAGCAACTACTTCTACAGGAGTCCGCTTTCCATTCGCTCCAGTTATCGTCTTCACAATACTTAAAAATGTACGGCGGTTCGATAATAGGCACGCATTTTCCGCCGCGACATTCTTTCCCAAATGCGCAAAAAGTTCCTGGAATAAAAATCAATAAATTTCAAATTAAAGCACCTAATTAAAAAAAAAAAAAAAACGTACCATCCAACGCTGGTCCTACAAAGTAGGACTTATTTTTATATGGCGCCTCGCATTCTAAAGTTTGACATATATCACGCAACGTTACTAAATTCGCATCATTATCACGCAAATATATTACGCATTGTGCTTTGGCAGTCCATTCTCTTCCGGGTAAATTGTGATAACGCGAATGATCAAATGCAGAAGCGTCATCAATGTTTTCCGATGTTGTACCATCTCGAAGACACGGCTTCCTTTCCCAGAGTTTTTCCATTTGATTACGACTACGGTTGGACCATGTTACATACCCCCAAAAATATCGGTAAGGTGACATAACAGTTATATTTACATCATCCGCATTTGTATAAGATTCAAAAGGATCCTTATCGAAATCCAATCCTAAACTTTTGAACAAATTGACAATATGTTTACTTTGCAGTGTTTGATTAAAAATTAAATATCTTTACTAATCCCTAGTTTAGACTTCGGAGGATGATCATGCTTGTGGCTCATCGGAATAAAATGTTTGACGGATGTATATTACACTAAAGTTGGCTTTCAATAGTATCAACTAAAATAATGTTTTTATCCAATTAAAAAAAATAATTTGATTTGACACGATTGAAAGACAATTTTAGTATAATTTTCATTCTACATATATGCTTTTTTATCTAATTTAAAAAAATTATATGATAAGGTTGGTGCAATTGGAAACTGCAGTGTTCTTTTAACCACTCAAATTATCCATTCTGGAGAGTCAAGTCATCCTTCGGTCTAGACAGAACATTAAAGTTAACAAACGGAGATGTTAGAGCATATAATTGTTTAAGAAATATCTGTATTTGTTGACCTTAATTTCTTTGTACAATTAAATAGTTTCTCATAAAAATATATTATATAAAATATATTATATTTTATATATACGTAAAATTAATATATATAAACTTACAGATTGCCGATCAGATAAAGAGCAGAAAGTGATGATGAAAAACCCGAGGAAGAGCCGTCAGATACAGCACCGAACTCCGTTATAGCGCACGACTTTTGCGGACTGCACACTGTATTAATATAACTTGATCCTGTTCTAACATCGACTTTTGTGCCTCCTTTATCAGACATCCAAGCGTCCGGATGTTCATAAAGATTTTTTCCGGTTAGGTAAAGACTAATGTCCCAGTGACCTGGATCATTGTCATCTGGTGGATTGAGAGAATTCGCGTATTTGCAAAACAAATCAAGCACTTTGTAAACTTCACCGTCAGAGTAAATCAAATCTGATGCCTGTTTTTTTATAATATACAAATGTACCAACGAAATATCGATGGAGACACCCACGCTCGGATGATGGAACGTAGACTCGATGCGATTGACATACGCTAATACTAAATTCTGTACTTTCTCTTTATCGTTGTCAAGAAGCGACAAAAACTTACGATATGCAGCATCGTCAACAAAAACGGCAAGTTTTATGATTAACTTTTGTTCAGCATTTCGTACACGATGTCGCTTAAATTTAGAATAATCTGAATGGTAAAGATTTGAATCAGCAAAATAATGCAGTGATCTTTTAATAAGATGAGATTTGCCAAATGAAAGATTAGATTGCTTTCTAATATCGTCGGTTAAGCACAAAGGCGTAAATTCGTTCCACAAAGGCCGAATCTCTAATGTGTCGTCCTGCAGAAAGACGAGTCCATTCTATTTTCAGAAAAGATATATCTGTTTTTTTACATGCCATGCTTGTATGTATATAAGACAAACAGATTTGAAGCAAAAACATAAAATTTTTTAATTAGTTTGTTTTTATATGATATTACTGACCAATCCGTATTCATGACAAAAATTGATAGCCGCAGAGCTGATATAATCTTTATGATAATAATAGCAAGGATCTGATACATTTAATTGCAACAATTTTTCTGTATCGCTTTTCCAGTTATTTTTCCATACTTCGAATTCAGGCGGTACAATCTGATCATTTTTACGCAGGTTTAGTTGAATCAATTGTCCGAAAACTTTCAGAGTTAACGGTATCTGTAAGTTGGATAACAATTAAAAAAAGATGACTTGTCCTTCACCGAACGTTGACATAGACACTGTTAAGCTTGAAGGCATCAATATGAATCTTCATAATAAAATTCTAAGCTCGAAATGATATTGAGGACACTTTTCAATAGAATGACGATTTTTAATTTACGAACTCATTAAAATTTTACAAGTCAATTTTAACGCTCATGGCCTATCAATTAAAAGATGACGACGATTATAATTTTAAGAAAGAGAAGAAAAACATATGTATGAACATTGTATTGAAATTTCAATGATAAATGTTTTAAACGCGAGCGCTTATGTCATAGATATTTATTATTACACTGAAGATGTCTATAACTGTTTAACCGAAACGTTTGTAATAAATTAAAATAATCATTGTTTAAGCACGTTTAATTAACTCTATCTTTTAGCTTTATTTTGTATTTATATTTATTATTTAAATAAGAACAGATTTGATAATTCTCGAATAATGCTTTCATCGTTAAACAACAAATAAAACACTACAGTCAAAAGAACGTACCTCCTTTGCGCCAATCGGATTTAATACCGGCAGCAATATTGTTTCTGTATCTTGTCTGATGTAGGCGTTTGCTTCATTTAGTAAAATTATTAACACCAATGTCAGTAGAAAAAACATTGCATTTTTTGGGTTTACAAATTTTAAATTATATATTAAACAACTTATATAGACACGTTAAGATACTGTCGTTTTCTTATGCTTTATATGATCGCGTATTAAACATATATTGTCTTTACTTTGAAATATCATTCGTGTCGTGACATCTATTGTGTATATTCTCTTTAGTAAATATCTATATAATACACGCATAATACGTTGTAAATAATTTTTATTTCCGAAATATGAATGTGTCATGTGTTATTTACGGTAAAGATGTATAGGTTTGGAAAATGCAATTTATCATTTATATATCCAATACGTAACATTAATCGGAAATGTGAGATTTCAGTTCACAAGAATTAAATTTCAAAGAAATAAAAAATAAGATTGGTATAAAAGTTTGTCGAGAAATGCCTATCAGTTAGTTTTGAGAGTTACATTAGCATTCACATAAGCGAAACAATTAAAATCAAACCAAAAAAGAAAGAACAATGAAAGACTATTGCACACATTACGTTAGATATAAATAAGTCAACATATTTTTCCAATTATTCTAATAAAATTCTGTTAGACGAATAAAATGTTCTTTATATAAATTATTAATACGAGTTAAAGAAATATTGAGATTCAACCGTTCTTAACCATGTTAATATTCTGTTCCACAATATACTCCTAAGCTTAACGAATGCTTCATTATATCGGGAAAATAACATTTTATACAAGTAAATTAGCTACATAATAAAATTTTTTTTATTTTTCCCAAAACTTCGTATTTTTTACAATTAGTTACAAATATTAATATCAAGATATAATTTAAATAACAATATATCGTCGTTTTCAATTTCGCTCGAAATATTTTCTCAAACAGCATAAGATTGTCCCTACTTTTTTACTGAAACTGTTTTACCCAACAGTCTCCTTTCGTAATCTTGTTAATTAAAAACTAATATTTTTAATTTTTTTTTTGCTGTTACTAATACTAAGTAATAAAATTTGTTTCACATGCTTTTGACACACTCGTCGATCCATCTGTCTAGGTCGAGTGTGCAAGCCATCTTGTGTAAAATAAAAATTATCTAAGTCTATACATGTTTTATAAATTGTCAGAAACTATACAAAGTATACGGTATTTATTGATTACACATGTATTGCAATCACAATTCTTCCATATCCTCGCTTAGATATAAATTAGTTGGTAATTTTCTCAGAATTCATAGTTTTCTGGTACACAATGATGCTTACGACAATAATAATTCTTATTACGTTCCTTGTGGCATAATGTTCCATCTGGAAAGTATGGGTTTACACCATTAGCAATCATTTCAACGCTTGAATAAGAAAAGTTTTTTCGTTTGCAAAATATAGTACAAGCTATCCATGGTCTATCATTGTAATAATGACCCTGATATCCTGGCTGTGAATGCAGATCTGACATAATATCCTTAAATTCAGTGCATTTTATGGTAGTAAACTCCGCAATCGTCATGCGTTTCTGAGTACACAGTAAAGAATCATTGCACAGAACCACGTCGTAATATAGTTCTATGCAATTCGCCGATTTGTTAATCCCATGCTTGCAAGAACGTCGTTTGACTACCACGCCTTTGGATTGTGCCAAGCAACTACTTCTACAGGAGTCCTTTTTCCATTCGCTCCAGTTATTGTCTTCACAATACTTAAATATGTACGGCGGTTCGATAACAGGCACGCATTCCCCGCCGCGACATTCCTTCCCAAGTGCGCAAGAAGATCCTTGAAAAAAATCGATAAGTTTCCAAAAATCTAAAGAAACTATAGAAAGTAATCAGAAAAAAGACATACCATCCAACGCTGGTCCCGCAAAGTAAGTTCTGCGAGGCGTCTCGCATTGTAAAGTTTGACATATGTCATGCAACGTTACTACGTTCGCATTCTTGTCACCCAAATATAATTCGCATTGTGCTTTGGCAGTCCATTCTCTTCCGGGTAATTCGTGATAACGCGAATGATCCAATGCATAAGCGTTAGTGATGTTTTCGGATGTCGTATCATCTCGAAGACACGGCTTCCTTTCCCAGAGTCTTTCAATTTTGTTACGACTACGTTTAGACCATGTTACATGACCCCGAAAATATCGGTAAGGTGACATTACAGGTATATTTACATTATCCGCATTGTTATACGATTCAAAAGGATCCCTATCGAATTCCAATCCTATACTTTTGAACAAATTGACAATATGTTTACTTTGAAGTGTGTGATTAAAATTTAAATATCTTGTACATTATTAGTGCCTAGTTTAGACTTCGAAGATTTTACTTGTGGTTTATCAGATTGAAAAGTTCGACAGGTGAATATTACATTACAGTTGACTTTCAGTCGTATCAACCCAAATAATTTTTTTATCCAATTAAAAGAAATTCTTTGGTTTGATACAATTAAAAGACCATTTTAGTATAGTTTTCATGCGTTTTAACTGTTTTTCTTCATCTATTTAAAAAAAATTATCTAATAAGGTTGATACAATTGGAAACTTCAGAATTAGTTTAATCTATCCAATTATCCTGTCTTATAAACTACAAGTAAAATGATCTTCTGTTCTAGACAAGGCATTATAGTTTACAAATTGAAAAGCATATTACAGCATAAAATTGTTTAAAAAATTTCTGTACTTGTTAAACTTAACTTTTTTCTACAGTTAAATAAATTCTTATATATAATATATTATGTTATATATATATATATGTAGAACTATATATAAACTTACAGATGGCCGATTAAATGAAGAGCAGAAAGTGATGATGAAAACCCCGAGGTTAAGCTTTCAAATACAGCACCGAACTCTACTACTGCACACGAATTTTGTGGGCTGCACACTTCATCAACGTAGGTTAATCCTGTTGTGAAATCGGTTAGTCTCTTGCCTCTTTTATAGGGCAACCGTCTGCCCAAAAATTCATAAAGATTTTTTCCGGTTAGGTAAAGACTAATGTCCCAGTGACCCGGATCATTGTCATCTGGTGGATTGAGAGAATTCGCGTATTTGCAAAACGAATCGAGCACTTTGTCAACGTCGCCAGAAATGATCAAATTTGACGGTTGTTTGTTCATAATATACAAATGTACCAACATAATATCGAGTGAGACACCCAAGCTCGGATGATGGAACACAGCTTGTATTTGATTCACGTATGCTAATACTATATTGTGCAACTTTTTCTCATCGTTGTCCAGAAGAGGCAAAAACTTACGATATGCAGTTTCGTCAACAAAAACGGCAAGTTCTATGATTAACTGTTCTCCCGTTTTGTCCGACCTCGTATCATCTCGAAGACATTTTTTTCTTTCCCAAACTTTTTTTATTTTATTACGACTATCCTCGGACCATGTTATCATGCCGCGAAATGTAGGGCCAGCTGAATTCATGAATTTATCGTCGTATTTTTTTGCAACTCCATAATTTTGATCTTGTGCCAATCCTAAACTATTAAACAAATAAATTGTGAATCTTAAAAATATGTTTTATTTCGCATCGTTTGACTGAAATAATTTTCAATATCTTGTAATTTAAAATATTTAACATACTAAACAATTAAAGCATTAAGTTTGTTAAAAGCCTTTTCACTTCTTAACTTTGAACTGTACAATTATACAAATTTTAATATATCATAAAATATAATTTTACTTAATTTATTCGTAAAATTAATATAATTAATAAACTTACAGATGGCCGATTTTAAAAACAGCATCAGTAGATAATGATATATAACGCGAGGATTGGGTTTCAAAGTTATTGCGAAATTCTACTATTGCGCATGATAAAAGTGGTTTGCATGCGCCATCCTGGTAGGCATTTCCCGTCACTGTATAATTTTTCCACATTTTTCTATTTAATATTTTGCCCAAATGTTCATATAGATTTAATCCAGTTAAATAAAGTGCAATGTCCCAATGATGCGGATTATTGTCATCTGGTGGATTGACAGAAGTCGCGTATTCGCAGAACGAATCGAGCAGTTTCTCAATGTCGCCGCCGAAAACTGGCAAAGCTGACGGTTGATTTTCCAAAATATGTATATGAACTAACGAAATATCGAATAAAACATCCAGATCATTGAACGCAGCTTCGATACGATTCACATACGCTTTTATTATTTGGTTCATTTTTGCTTATCGTTCTTTACAAGAGGCTTGAACGTCTGATATGCTGCTGCGTCCAAGAAAATGACAAGTTCTATGATTAACTTTTGTTGCGCATTTCGTACACGATGTCGCTTAAGTTTAGAATTGTCCCAATGATAAAAATTTGAATCAGCAAAATATTGCAGTGACCTTTTAATAAGATGAGGTTTGCCAAATGAAAGATTAGTTTGTTCTCTGAAATCGTCGATTAAAAACAAAGACGTAAATTCGTTCCACAAAGGCCGAATCTCTAATGTGTCATTTTCCACAAAAACAAGTCCTTCCTATTTTCAGAAAAGATATATCTGTTTTTTACGTGCCATGCTTGTATGTATATAAGACAAACAGATTAAAAACAAAAACATAAAAATTTTACGAGAAATATAATGGAATAGCATTAAGAACCGTCGCAGAATGTTAGTGTTAAATTTTTTAATTTTTTTTAAAGAAATTAGTAAATTAGTCTACATGAGACAGTTAGATTGTACACCGATCTCAGATCGAGATACCTAAAGTGTACGAAATTTTAAATACATTGTTCTCATATATCGAGAAACTTAATGTACGTATAGGAATTATTGGAAAGAAAGGAAGAGAGAAAAAATATCAGGGCGCAAGTGGCTAAGCCGGGAATTGAACCCGGGTCTTCCGCTTGCCGGGCGAATGTTCTGACCACTAAACTACTCAGACCCCACGCTTCTAACATTTATCTCTCCTAGATTAGGAAATCAACAATTCTATAGGACATAAACGCGTCATAATGCCCGCTTGATTTCCATTATATGTGTTATAAAAATTTTTAATCAGTTTGTTTTTATATGATATTACTGACCCATCCATATTCATGACAAAAGTTGATAGCCGCAGAGCTGATGTGATCTTTATGATAATAATAACAAGGATCTGATACGTTTAGTTGCAACAATTTTGCTGTAACGCTTTTCGCATTATTATTCCATACTTCGAACTCAGACGATACAATGCGATCGTTTTGACGCAGGTTTAGGTGAATCAATTCTCCGAAAACTTTCAGAGTTAATGGTATCTGTAAATTAAATAACAATTAAAAAAAACTTGTTAGATAATGCTTTGATCATTGAGCAACAAATAAAAACTATGGTAAAACGCGTGTACCTCCTCTGCGCCTGTCGGATTCGATGCCGGCAGCAATATTATTTCTGTATCTTGTGTAATATAGGCGTTTGCTTCATTTAGTAAAATTATTAATACTTTAATTGTCTGAAGAAAAAACATTGTATTTTTTAAGTTTACAAATTTTATATTATATACTAAACAACTTATATAGACACGTTATGATACTGTCGTTTTCGTTACGTCTTATAAGATCGCATTTTAAACACATACTGGCTCTGCTTAGGAATATCATGCGTGTTGTGACATCTGTTGTGTATATATTTCAGTTACTACATATATACATAATACATGCATAATACGTTGTACACAATTTTTATTTTCAAAATCTAAATGTGTCATATGGTACTTACGGTATAGGTTTAGAAAGTGCAATTTATTATTGATATGTATTAAGTCTATAACTTGAAACCCGTTCTCTAGCGATAAATAGCTGTAACTTTGACAATCGTCAACTGTAATGGCTGAACAAGGCATCATTTATAGTTTTGACATCTGTCAATAATATTCAGTATATAAAAGTTTGTGTTTGTGACAACAACATAGTTTTTTACTGCGAAGAAAATGTCTGAATTTCAACCAAATAAGCATCATTTGCGCGAAGCTTTGCTTTTCTGTTTCAATTTGAAGAAAACTGCTGCTGAATCTCATCGAATGCTTGTTGAAGCTTATAGGGAACTTGCTCTATCGAAAACAACTTGCAATGAATGGTTTCAACGATTCAAACTTGGTGATTTTGACACGAATGATAAGGAACGTCCAGGCCAGCAAAAAAAATTCAAAGATACAGAACTGCAAGCATTGGTGGATGAAGATCCATGTCAAACACAAAATCAACTTGTAAAAACGTTGGATGTTACTCAAGCAGCCATTTCCAAGCGTTTAAAAGCCATACAAGGAAGGAAAATAGGTGCCATATAAACTGAAAGAAAGAGACATTGAAAGGCGAAAAACCATCTTCGAAATGCTGCTTGTCAAGCAAAAAAGAAAAGGGTTTTCGAATTGTGACTAGCGATGAAAAATGGATCTATTTCGATAACCCCAAACGCCGAAAAACCATTTGCGACCCAGGCCAACCATCGACATTGACGCCAAAATGCAATATTCATGGGAAGAAGGCTATGCTCTGTATTTGGTGGGACCAGAAGGACCAGAAGGGTGTGGTATATTATGAGATACTGAAACCTGGTCAAACAATCACAGGGGATCTCTACCAACAACAAATAATTCGTTTGAGCCAAGCTTTGCGCGAAAAACAACCAGAATATGAGACAAGACAGCATAAAGTGATCTTGCTTCATGACAACGCTCAACCTCACGTCACTAAGACTGTCAAGGAAACATTGGAAGCACTTCGCTGGGAAGTGCTACTCCATGCGGCTTATTCACCAGACTGTGCCCCTTCCGACTACCACTTGTTTTGGTCGATGGCACACGCACTTGCTGAGGAACACTTCAACTCTTATAAAAGCGTCGAAAAATGGGTCTCTGAGTGGATAGCCTCTCAAGATGAGTCGTTCTTTCGCCGTGGGATCCGCTTATTGCCAGAAAGATAGGAAAAAATCACATCTAACGATGGCCAATACTTTGATTGATGTATTTTTTTCATTTGTTTCTTAAATAAAGACTTAATTTTTCCAAAAAAAAACCGGGTTTTAAGTTATAGACTTAATACATACAATATATGATATATATGATAAATCGGAAGTGCGTGACTTCAGTTTAATAATTAAATTTCAATGAATTGAATAATAAGTTTGATATAAAAATTTGTCGTGTAGTGCATATAAAAATTATGCCTAAAAGATACATTAACATATATCGGTGAGATAATCGAAATCAAACCAAAAAAGATGAACACAATGAAAACAATTGTACACGTTACGATGGATATAAATCAGTCAATATTTTTTTAGATTATTCTAAAATTTAGTTAGTCGAATAAAATGTTTCTTATATGAATTATTACGATAAGATATATTGAGGTTTAATTATTTCTGCAAAATAACATTGTATACAAGTAAATTAGCTACGTGAAAAAAATTTTTTTTTATTCCATCGAAGCTTCTTATGTTTCTTAGTTACAAACATTAATAACAAAATATTATTTAAATAACAATATATTATCGTCTTTAATTTTACTCAAAACATTTTCTAAACAGCTTAAGACTGTCACTCCACAGTTATATGCTAAAACTGTTTTATCCAACTGTCTCCTTTCATAATCTTGTTAATTAATAACTAACAACTTTTTAAATTTAAGTTTCTTTTTGCTGTTACTAATACTAAATAATGAAATTTGTTTCTGATGCCGACACAATCGTCAATCCATCTGTCTAGGTCGAGTGTGCAAGCCATCTTGTGTAAAATAAAAATTATCTAGGTCTATACATGTTTTATAAATTGTCATAAACTATACAAAATATCTGACAGTATTTATTGATTACACATGGATTGCAATCAGAATTCTTCCATATCCTCGTTTAGGTATAAATTAATTAGTAATTTTTTCAGAATTCATAGTTTTCCGGTACACAATGATGCTTACGACAATAATAATTCTTATTACGTTCTTTGTGGCATAATGTTCCATCTGGAAAGTATGGGTTTACGCCATTAGCGATCATTTCAACGCCTGAATAAGAAAAGTTTTTTCGTTTGCAAAATATAGTACAAGCTATCCATGGTTTATCATTGTAATAATGACCCTGATATCCTGGCTGTGAAAGCAGATCTGACATGATATCCTTGAATTCAGTACATTTTATGGTAGTAAACTCCGCAATCGTCATGCGTTTCTGAGTACAAAGTAAAGAATCATTGCACAGAACCACGTCGTAATATAGTTCTATGCAATTCGCTGATCTGTTAGTCCCATGCTTGCAAGAACGTCGTTTGACTACCACGCCTTTGGATTGTGCCAAGCAACTACTTCTACAAGAGTCCTCTTTCCATTCGCTCCAGTTATAGTCTTCACAATACTTAAATATGTACGGCGGTTCGATAACAGGCACGCATTCCCCGCCGCGACATTCCTTCCCAAGTGCGCAAGAAGTTCCTTAAAAGAAATCGATAAGTTTCCAAAAATCTAAAGAAACTATGGAAAGTAATCAGAAAAAAGACATACCCTCCAACGCTGGTCCCGCAAAGTAAGCTCTACGAGGCGTCTCGCATTGTAAAATTTGACATATATCATGCAACGTTACTACGTTCGCATTCTTGTCACCCAAATATAATTCGCATTGTGCTTTGGCAGTCCATTCTCTTCCGGGTAATTCGTGATAACGCGAATGATCCAATGCATAAGCGTTAGTGATGTTTTCCGATGTTGTATCATCTCGAAGACACGGCTTCTTTTCCCAGAGTCTTTCAATTTTGTTACGACTACGTTTAGACCATGTTACATAACCCCAAAAATATCGATCAGGTGACATTACAGTTATATTTACATCACCTGCATTCTTATACGATTCAAAAGGATCCCTATCGAGTTCCAATCCTATACTTTTGAACAAATTGACAATATGTTTACTTTGAAGTGTGTGATTAAAATTTAAATATCTTGTAATTTATTAGTGCTTAGTTTAGACCTCGGAGATCCTGCTTGTGACTTATCAGAGTGAAAAGTTTGACGAGTGAATATTACATTACAGTTGACTTTCAGTCGTATCAACCCAAATAATTTTTTTATCCAATTAAAAGAAATTGTTTGGTTTCTTACGATTGAAATACCATTTTAGCATATTTTTCATGAGTTTTATTCGTTTCTTTTTAATCTAATTAAAAAAAATTATTTGATACGATTGGAAGCTACAGTATTACTTTAATCTGTCTAATTATCCTGACTTATGAGCTACAAGTAAAATGATCCTCCGTTCTAGACAAAGCATTACAGTTTACAAATTGAAAAACATATTACAGCATAAAATTGTTTAAAAAATTTCTGTACTTGTTAAACTTAATTTTTTTCTACAGTTAAATAAATTCTTGTATATAATATATTATGTTACATATATATATACCATATATATATATACGTAAAACTATGTATAAACTTACAGATGGCCGATCAAATGAAGAGCAGAACGTGATGATGTAAATCCCGAGGTTAAGTTTTCAAATACAGCACCGAACTGTACTACTGCACACGAATGTTGCGGGCTGCACACTTCATCAATGTAAGTTAATCCTGTTGTGAAATTGTTTACTGTCTGGCCTCTTTTGTAGGGCAACCGTCTGCCCAAATATTCATAAAGATTTATTCCGGTTAGGTAAAGACTAATGTCCCAGTGACCCGGATCATTGTCATCAGGAGGATTGAGAGAATTTGCATATTTGCAAAACGAATTGAGCACTTCGTCAACGTCGCCGTCAGAAATTATCAAATTTGACGGCTGTTTGTTCATAATATACAAATGTACCAACATAATATCGAGTGAGACACCCAAGCTCGGATGATGGAACACAGCTTGTATTTGATTCACGTATGCTAATACCATATTGTGCAACTTCTCCTTATTGTTGTCCAGAAGAGGCAAAAACTTACGATATGCAGCTTCGTCAACAAAAACGGCAAGTTCTATGATTAACTTTTCTCCCGTTTTGTCCGATTTTGTATCATCTCGAAGACATTTTTTTCTTTCCCAAACTTTTTTTATTTTATTACGACTATCTTCGGACCATGTTATCATGCTGTGAAATGTAGGGCCAGCTGAATTTATGAATGTATCGTCGTATTTTTTTGTAACTCCATAATTTTGATCTTGTGCCAATCCTAAACTATTAAACAAATAAATTGTGAATCTAAAAATCTGTTTTATTTTGCATCGTTTGACTGAAATAATTTTTTATATTTTGTAATTTACAAATATTTAACATATTAAACAATTAAAGCATTAAGTTTGATAATAGCTCTTTTACTTGTTAATTCTAATATATCATAAAATATAATTTTACTTAACTAATTTGTAAAATTAATATATATAAACTCACAGATGGCCGATCTGAAAAGCAGCATTAATAGATGATGATATATATCGCGAGGATTGGGTTTCAAAGTTATTGCGGAGTTCTACTATTGCGCATGATAAAAGTGGTTTGCATGCGCCATCCTGGTAGGCATTTCCCGTGACTGTATAATTTTTCCTCAATCTTCTATTTGATATATGGCCCAAAAATTTATAAAGATTTATTCCGGTTAAATAAAGTGCAATGTCCCAATGATGTGAATTACTGTCATCTGGAGGATTGAGAACATTCGCGTATAGGCAGAACGAATCGAGCAGTTTCTCAATGTCGCCGCCGAAAACTGGCAAAACTGGCGGTTGATATTCCAAAACATATACATAAACTAACGAAATATCGAATAAAACATCCAGATCATTGAACGCAGTTTCGATACGATTCACATACGCTTTTATTATTTGGTTCATTTTTTGCTTATCGTTCTTTACAAGAGGCTTGAACGTCTGATATGCTGCTGCGTCCAAGAAAATGACAAGTTCTATGATTAACTTTTGTTGCGCATTTCGTACACGATGTCGCTTATGTTTAGAATTGTCCCAATGATAAAAATTTGAATCAGCAAAATATTGCAGTGACCTTTTAATAAGATGAGGTTTGCCAAATGAAAGATTAGTTTGTTCTCTGAAATCGTCGATTAAGCACAAAGCCGTAAATTCGTTCCACAAAGGCCGAATCTCTAATGTGTCGTCTTCCAGAAAAACGAGTCCTTCCTATTGACAAAAAAGATATAATTGTTTTTTTACGTGCCATACTTGTAAGTATATAAGACAAACAGATTAAAAGCATAAACATAAAAATTCTAAATCAGTTTGTTTTTATATGATATTACTGACCCATCCATATTTATGACAAAAGTTGATAATCGCAGAGCTGATGTGATTTTTATGATAATAATAACAAGGATCTGATACGTTTAATTCCAACAATTTTTCTGTATCGCTTTTTTTATTATTTTTCCATACTTCGAACTCAGGCGATACAATGCGATCGTTTCGACGCAAATTTAGGTGAATCAATTCTCCGAAAACTTTCAGAGTTAATGATATCTGTAAATTAAATGACAATTAAGAAAAAACTTGTCGGATAATGCTATGACCGTTAAACAACAAATAGAACGCTATAGTAAAACGCACGTACCTCCTTTGCGCCTGTCGGATTCGACGCCGGCAGCAATATTGTTTCTGTATCTTGTCTGATATAGGCGTTTGCTTCATTTAGTAAAAATATTAATACCATTGTCAGTAGAAAAAACATTGTATTTTTTGGGTTTACAAATTTTTTTTATATATTATACAACTTATATAGGTACGTTATGATACTGTCGTTTTCGTTACGTCTTATAAGATCGCATATTAAACACATACTGGCTCTGCTTAGGAATATCATGCGTGTCGTGACATCTATTGTGTATATATTTCCTTTATTACATATATTCATAACACATGCATAATACGTTGTACACAATTTTTATGTTCAAAATCTGAATGTGTCATATGGTACTTATGGTATATGTTTAGAAAGTGCAATTTATTATTAATTTGTACAATATATAATATAATTTGGAAGTGCGTGCTTTCAGTTTAATAATTAAATTTCAAAGAAATGAATAATAAGATTGATATAAAAATTTGTCGTGTAGTTCATATAAAATTTATGCCTAAAAGATATTTTAGCATATACTGGTGAGATAATCGAAATTGAACCAAAAAGGATAAAACAATAAAAACAATTGTACACGTTACGATGGACATAACTAAATCAACATTTTTTCAATTATTCTAAAATTTAGATAGTCGAATAAAATGTTTCTCATATGAATTATTAAGATAAGATATATTGAAGTTTACTTATTTCTGCAAAATAACATTGTATACAAGTAAATTAATAACGTCAAAAAATTTTTGTTATTTCTATCCAACTTCTTATGTTTTTTAGTTACAAACATTAATAACAAGATATTATTTAAATAACAATATATTATCGTCTTCAATTTCGCTCAAAACATTTTCTAATGCAGTTTAAGACTGTCACTCCACAGTTTTATGCTGAAGCTGTTTTACCCAACTGTCTCCTTTCATAATCTTGTTAATTAATAATTAATAACTTTTCAAATTGAGTTTCTTTTTGCTGTTACAACTACTAAGCAATGAAATTTGTTTCGCATGCCGCTCTTAACACAATCTTCGATTCTTTGGTTCTACGTCGAGCGTTGAATTGATTCCGCATAAAATAAAAATTATTGAGGATATTACGTCTAATACAAACTTCAGAAACTCGACAAAGTAACTGACGGTATTAGATTGATTACGCATGTTTTGGAATTACAATTCTATATCCTCGTTTAGATATAAATTAGTTGGAAATTTTTTTCCGAATGTGTAGTTTTCCGGCAGACAGTAATGTTTACGACAATAATAATTCTGGTTACGTTCATTGTGGCACCATGCTCCATCTGGAAAGTATGGATTCACGCCAAAAGCGATCATTTTACTGGGTGATGTGTAAGAATTTGAAGAGTATAAAGGAATGGCATACTCTCGTTTACAATTTATAGTACAAGCTATCCATGGTCTATCCTTATAATAATGACCCTGATATCCTGACAAATGTATCACTTCCAATATGACAGTACTGAATTCGATGCACTTTTCGAAAATAAACTCGCGGGTTGTCATGCGCTTGTCATTCTCAATAGACCCTTTTACAGAGTAAAGAATCGTTGCACAGAACTATGTCGTAATATGTTCCTATGCAATTCGCCGTTCTGTCAGTCCCACGCTTGCAAGAACGTCGTTTGACTATCACGCCTTTGGATTGTTTCAAGCAACTACTTCTACAGGAGTCCTTTTTCCATTCGCTCCAGTTATCGTTTTCACAATACTTAAATATGTATGGCGGTTCGATAACAGGCACACATTCCCCGCTACGACATTCTTTCCCGAGTGAGCAAAAAGTACCTTGAAAAAATCTATAAATTACAAAATATCTAAAAAAACTAATGAAAGTAGTCAGAAAAAGACATACCATCCAACGCTGGTCCCGCAAAGTAAGACTGATTATTATGAGGCGTTTCGCATTGTAAAGTTTGACATATATCATGTAACGTTACTACATTCGCATTTTCGTCACCCAAAAATAATTCGCATTGTGCTTTGGCAGTCCATTCTCTTCCGGGTAAATCGTGATAACGCGAATGATCCAATGCATAAGCGTTATTGATATTTTTCGATGTCGTATGATATCGAAGACACGGCTTCCTTTCCCAGAGTTTTTCTATTTGTTTGCGACTATGATTGGACCACGTTACATAGCCCCGAAAATATCGGTAGGGCGACATTACAGTTATAATTGGGTTATCATCCGTATACTTATTTGATTCGAAAGGATCTTTATCAAATTCCAATCCTACACTGTTGAACAAATTCACAATACGTTTACTTTGCAGTGTTTGATTAAAATATTTTAAATACCTTTCTTATAATATATAGTTTAAAATACTTGATAAAAAATTATTTATTTGTACCAAAAAATTACGATCAACAAATGCAGCAATTTTTTAAGCGATTTTATGCTTTAATTTTTCAGTTGATCAACTGTAATGTTCAGTTTAGACATTGAAGAATGATCTTATTTGTGCATTATTAGAGGGAAGAATTTGACTAGTGTCGTAAACAAATTACACTAAAGTTGACTCTCAATCGTATTAACTCAAATAATTTTATTTTAATTGAATATAAAAATAATTTGTTACAATAGACACGACTGGAAGCCAACTTCAGTTTAATTTTATCTTGTCCAACTATACACTCCGACAAGCCACCCGACAAGTAAGATTATTCTCTGGTTTAAACTGAGTATTATAGTTTACAAACTGTAAAATAAAAAATAAAATAGTTTAAAAAATTTCTATACTTGTTGCTTGTAATTCCTCTTTTTCTATACATTTATATAAAGTCTTATAAAATATATTATACTTTAAAATATATAAAACTATATATGACTAAATATATACAATAATTAAATTATATTAAATATTATATATATATATATGTGTGTACGTATAAAATATATTATAATTTATACATGTAAAACTAATATTGTAAACTTACAGATGGCCGATTAGGTGAACAGCGCAAAGGTATGATGCAAAACCCGAGAAGAAGTTTTCTACATGACCAAACTCTACTATGGCGCACGAATGTTTCGGGATGCACATTTTATCAATAAAAGTTAATTTTGTTTTTAAATAGGTCACATGATTGTCTTCTTTTAAATAGCGCTTCGGAGTGTCCTCAATTTCATAAAGCTTTATTCCAGTTAGATAAAGACCAATGTCCCAGTGATGCGGATCATTGTATTTTGAAGGATTGAGAGACTTCGCATATTTGCAGAAAGAATCGAGCAGGTTCGTATTTTTGTCAATTACTAAAGATTGTTTCATAAATTTCAATTGTACCAACGTAATATCGATGGAGATACCCAAACTCGGATGATGGAACATAGCTTGGATTTGATTCACGTATGCTAATATCATATTGTGCAACTTTTTCTCATCGTTGTTCAGAATAGGCAAAAACTTACGTTGTGCAGCTTCGTCAACAAAAACGGCAAGTCTCATAGTTAAACTTTTTTTAATATTATCATCTAGTATATCGTCGAGATTTAGCGCATACGAACGATCTCTAAGACATGTTTTCCTCTTCCAGAGATTTTCTATTTCCTTAAGACTGTTGTCGGACCATGTCATATTGTAATTGGTTAAGTCATCTCTACTAAAGATGTCAACCGGTTCGCCTGAATATTGTTCTACTCCTAAACTGTTGAACAGATAAATTATTAATTTTGAAAATATGTTTTACTTTGCATCGTTGAATTGAAATATTGTTATATATCTTATTATTTGTTAATAATTAACATAATAAACAATTAAAAAATTATATTTTTTTTAAGAGACTATGTACTTGTTGATTTTAAACTATTTATTTAAATAAATTCTAATATAAAACATAAGTCATTCTTAATTTTTACGTAAAACTTTTATATTAAAACTTACAGACGATTGATCAGGCGAACAGGATTCAAAGATGGTTTGATTTCTTGGAATTCTATTATCCCACATGAGTAATACCGTTTGCATGCGCCATCGAAGTAAGCTTCTCCTATAACATTAAAACTCTTTCTATATAAGTATAACTTATATGGAGGTTTTCTAAGAGAATAAGTATAAAGACTTTCTCCAGTTAGGAAAAGGCTAATGTCCCAATGATCTGGATCCTCATCGTTCGGAAAATTGATAGAATTGGTGTATTCGCAGAACAGTCTGAGCTGTGTATGAATGTCGTCAATTTCCCAAAATCGCCTTTTATTCATATAAGTTTCGTCTATCATATCCAAATGTATTAACGAAACATCGATAAAGGCATTCAATCTCGGATGTTTGAATTCAGTCTTAATTTGATTCACATACGCTAGTATTATATTGCGGAACTCTTTCTTATTGTTCCTCACAAAAGGCATGATCCTCTGATATGCACTTTCGTCGTAAAAAACGGCAAGTTCGATGGTTAAATTTTGTTGTGCCTTTCGTATATAACGACGCTTTAGTTTGAACTTGTCCCAATAGTAAGGATTTGAATCAGCAAAATATTGCAGTGATCTTTTAATAAGATGAGATTTGCCAAATGAAAGATTAGTTTGTTTTCTAATATCGTCAATTAAACAAGGCGTAAATTCGTTCCGCAAGGGCCGAATCTCTAATGTGTCATCTTCCACAAAAACGAGTCCTTCCTATTATCAAAACAGATATATTTGTTTTTTTTACGTGCCATGCTTATATATAAAACAAAAAATATTAATGGGATAAGTAAAGACATAAAAATTTTTAAACAATTTGTTTTTAAATAATATTACTGACCAATCCATATTCATGACAAAAGTTGATGGCGGCAGAGCTGATATGATCTTTATGATAATAATAGCAAGAATCTGATATGTTTAATTGTAACAATTTTTCTGTATCGCTTTTTCCATTATTTTTCCATACTTTGAACTGAGGCGGTACAATCCGATCGTTTCGACGCAGGTTTAGTTGAATCAATTGTCCGAAAACTTTCAGAGTTAACGGTATCTGTAAATGGGTGACAGTTAAAAGAAGATGCCTTGTTTTTCTCCGAACGTTCACATAGACACTGTTAAGTTTAAAGGCATCAATATGGATCTTTATAATAAACTTCTAAGCTTGAAATGATATGGAGAACACTTTTCAAAGAAATGACGGTTTTTAATTTACGAACTCATTAAAATTGTACAAGATTAACGCTCATAGCCTATCAATTAAAATAAAAGTGACAACCGTAATAGTTTTGTGAAAAAGAAGGACATATACACTACGCGTCAAAATTAAGGAATGGAAAATTTTGGGTCAATTTTTGGGTGTTTTTTGAGCGGCTGTATCTCCGCGAAAAACGGACAAAAATAATATTTTAAAAAAGCTTTTTGAAGCTTGAATCTTTTAGTTTCTGAATCTTCGAAGAAAACTTTTATATCATCATTTTTAACAGAGTTATCATTTATTGAACGAAACAATCCAAAAATGAAAAAAATTTCCCCAAATTGGGCAACGTGCATGGACCAGAAAATTTTTTTTGTCAAAAACCGATTCCACGACGTAAAAGCTCATATAATTCTCAACAATTTGCTTTTTCAGTTAATGCTGTGCGATTTTTTTTGACCGAGTATTTCCGTTAGGCGCTCATGCATGTTTATACAACGCCGTATCGTTGCTTACGGTATCCGTTGCCAGACTTGGCGAAATGCTCGCGCCAACTGCCGTGTTATTGTATTGAAAATCATATTTTGTAAAATTAGACTTGTTATCGTAGAAATAACCAAGAAAGGATCAATGATCAGATGGAAAATGTTTCGAATTTTGGCGTTAATTAGGCATTATTGGAGCAAAATAAAAGATTTTTAGTCATTTTCGTACGTTAACGTAACTTACGAGCTTCAGAGCGCTAGGAAAGAAAAATCCAGCGTTCTCGGGATTTTGCGTGGTTACTGGGCATACCCTTAACTAAAAAAAAACGTAGACACTAAGGAGTTTCAATCATTTTTCACGAAGTGCCGCCCAGGTGAATAAAAAAAGAGAAAAACGCGATTTTTAACACGTTTTTACAATTGATATATCAAAATAAAAAAATGTCAAATCGAAATTTTGAAGAGAGTATTTTATAGGGGAGACTTTGAACTTTCCAAAAAGCCTTGGTGAATGTCGTACGACAATTTGTTCCAGAGCTACGGATGTTTAAAGTTGAAGGTACCAATTTTGCTTTAACCGCCAATAACTCGGTCAAAAAAAATCGCACAGTATTCACTAAAAAAGCAAATTGTTGAGAATTGTGTGAGCTTTAACGTCGTGGATCGATTTTTGACAAAAAAAATTTTTTGGTCCATGCACGTTGCCCAATTTGGGGAAATTTTTTCATTTTTGGATTGATCCGTTCAATGAAGAATAATGGCCGGAGCACAGACTTTTGCATAAAGCATAATGCATAAGCATAAGGAAATTGATTGGTCCATTTCCTTATGCATTTGCTTATGCTTATATATAGACCAATCAATTTCCTTATGCTTATGCGTTATGCTTTATGTAAAAGCTTGTGCTCTCGGCTTAACTCTGTTAAAAATAATGATACGGAAATTTTCTTCGAAGATTCAGAATCTAGAAGATTCAAGCTTCAAAACACTTTTCTTAAATATTTTTTTCGTCCATTTTTCGCGGAGATACAGCCGCTCAAAAAACACCCAAAAATCGACCCAAAATTTTCCATTCCTTAATTTTAACGCGTAGTGTATTTGAACATCGTATTGGAATTTCTATGAAAAATGTTTTAAACGCGAACACTTATGCCATAGGTATTTATTATTACACTGAAAATGGCTATAACTGTTTAGTCAAAACGTTTGTAGTAAATTAAAATAACCATTATTTGAACACGCTTAACTAGCTCTGGCTCTTAGCTTGATTTTGTATATATATATTATTATTTAAATAAGAAAAAATTTGATAATTTTCGAATAATGCTTTGATCGTTAAATAATAAATAGAACACTATAGTAAAACGCACGTACCTCCTTTGCGCCTGTCGGATTCGACGCCGGCAGCAATACTGTTTCTGTATCTTGTCTGATATAGGCGTTTGTTTTATTAAGTAAAATTATGAACACCAATGTCAGTAGAAAAAACATTGTATTTTTTGGGTTTACAAATTTTGAATTATATATTAAGCAACTTATATAGACACGTTATGATACTGTCGTTTTCTTATGCCTTATATGATCGCGTATTAAACACATACTGTCTTTACTTAGAAATATCATTCGTGTCGTGACATCTGTTGTGTATAAGTATATTCCCTTTAGTACATACATACATAATATACGTATAATAATTTAGAGCTGTTATATGACTTTTTTAAATTTATTACTTAGTAGTTACTTTATTACTAGATAAATATTCTTTAACAAACGTAACTCTCGAAAATAACAGATCTTTTAATCAATTTCAAATAAAATTAAACGAAAATTTTGTTAGATTATCCAGTAAACATTGTCGACGGCGGGAACAGAGAATACAGTGATGTATATTAGTTACATTTCTAGTTTATAAATGTTTATAAATGCTTTAATATATTTTTTTATATTTATTTATTATTAGAAATTGTTTGTTAATTGTGAAAAATATGTTTTGTTTTATGAATACTGGTAAAGTTTTGGGCACTTTTCCTTATTCTTGCAACAAATGTTAGTATTTTTTACAATTTTTGCCAAATAAAACATTTATTTTTATTAATATAAAAATGTGTTGAAATTGTTATTTTAACATTCTTTATCCTTTTTTTGTTTATCTATCATATACCTTAGCTTATCTTTTAAAATATATTAAATTGTTTTATATTTTATAATTGCATTTTTAACATATAGAAATATGTATATAAATATAAATATTTGTAAATATACTTTATTTTTTTATTGATTTTTCAGAAAATAAGTTTTTTAAATGAAGGGGTACTATATAGCATATCTTTTTACTAGACTGAAACACTTTACTGCGTTTGCCGCGTCGCGCATGCGCGAAAAACCGGACAGAATCTGACTACATTGTATGGCAGAGTTTCCATTCTTTCCAATTCTTTCCTGTGGGTGAAACAGGTTAAGGTACAGCAAGGTACAGCAAGATCAAGTAAGATTTAGAACATGTGGTTTTCTAGAAAGGATAAAAGATGAGAATACTGTGTTTTCAAAGAAACAAAAATTAAAAGAGAAAAGGAAAAAAACGTGTTTCTAAAGTAAGACAACATCAATTTCAAAATGTCTTTCAATTATAACTTCAAGAAAATTGCTGTTATCCCAACTGCAAAGGTTAGATATGTTAATTCCAATCATGATTTGTCGTTTTTGTTTTTTTTAATTTATATTTATATATTTTCTTATGAAACTGTAATAATAATCTAAAATTTTGCTTTTTCATTCAGGATTTTATCGATATAATTTTATCGAAGACACAACGCAAGACACCTACAGTTATTCACAAACAGTATAAAATAGCGAGAATACGTGCGTTTTACATACGAAAAATCAAATTCACGCAGCAGAATTTTCATGATAGACTATCCCATATAATACAAGATTTTCCTAAGCTGGATGATGTTCATCCATTTTATGCAGATTTAATAAATGTTTTATATGATAGAGATCACTTTAAGTTAGCTCTTGGACAGCTAAATACCGCTAGGCATTTAATTGACACGTACGTAATTTATATAAAATATAAATGTATCTCTAATACTTGTTATTATATTATTACTATATTATCATTATTTTATGATTATAGTGTAGCAAAAGACTACGTCCGTTTATTAAAATATGGAGATTCTTTATATCGTTGTAAACGTTAAAAAAAGCTGCTTTGGGTCGAATGGCTACTATTATAAAAAGACAAGCGGCCAATTTAACATACCTTGAACAAGTTCGTCAACACCTGGCTCGATTACCAAGTATAGATCCTTACACACGCACGATAATTCTTTGTGGATTTCCGAATGTTGGCAAGAGCAGTTTTATGAACAAAGTAAGTTGTACAACAATTGTGATTTACATATTTCTTATACAAGTAAAATTTGATACAATTATTTAATACACTTTTATCAATTAATTAATTTACAGATTACTCGAGCTGATGTAGATGTTCAACCGTATGCATTCACAACAAAATCCTTGTACGTTGGGCATACTGATTACAAATATTTGAGATTTCAAGTGATTGACACACCTGGATTATTAGATCAGCCATTGGAACAGAGAAATGTTATAGAAATGCAGGCGATAACGGCTCTTGCTCATTTGCAAGCTGCTGTACTTTATTTCTTCGACTTATCAGAGCAATGTAATTTTACTCTAATGGAACAAGTAAGTTGCAATGCATAATATGAGTTGCAACTTAACATTATAAAAATTATTTTGTTTTTGTAGATGAAGTTACTTGAATCCATAAAGCCTTTGTTTGTAAACAAGCCTTTGTTACTAGTGATGAACAAAGCAGATATCCTACGTATGGAAGAGTTACCTCCACACAAGGGAGATGTGCTGAAAAATAATAATCTACCTAAATATGAAATGAGTACGCTCACTGATTTTGGTGTGATGGAAATAAAAGAGGCGGTTTGCGAGCGACTTTTAGCCTTCCGAATAGATAACAAAATGAAAACAAAAAAAGTAATTTGTCTGAAAATTTTCCAGTGTTGAAAAATTTGATACAGTCATGATACAATTTATTATATTTATAGGTGGAAGGTCTTCTTAATCGGTTGCACATTGCTCAACCGCAATATGTTGATCCAAATCGTATTCCATGTATACCGGAAAGTGTGCGGAACAGGAAATTATTGGCTGCAAAAAGAAGAACAAAGATGAACACAGAAATACTAGAACAAAAATGTGAAAGAAGTCGGAAATTAGAAAGACAAATAGAGGAAGAAATGGGAGATGATTATGTGCTTGATTTGAAGAAGCACTATGATATTGAGAGTGAGCAGAAATATGATTGCATACCCGAAATTTGGGAAGGTCATAATGTAGCTGATTACATAGACCCAGATATATTCAACGTTAGTGCAAACTCTATTAAATTGTAAAAGATTATATCCTGACAAAACATATTTCTTCATCGTGTACCTTTTATTGTTTTTTCAGAAATTGACTGAACTGGAAAGGGAAGAGCAATTGAGAGAAGAGGCTGGTATGTACGATTACAAGATGCCCGAGTTATCGGAGACAATGCGCGAGATCGAACAGCTTGCGAAGCAAATTCGTGACAAGAAGATCATCATGAAGGATGAAGCACGAATAACAAAAGCTTCCACAAAGCCGGTTATGCCACGTACAGCCGCGGCCAAGTTACGCGATCGATCAGTCACAAAGTTGAAGGAACAGATGGAAGACCTGGGTGTGGATATGGAAGCTACCGAAAATGTAAGTATTACATATGAGATATAAATTATAATTATCTATAAATTAAAATCCATAGCTAATCAACCTTTCATATTAGATATATATTATTTTCGGAAAAACAGAATATATAATAAAAATATTTCAAAATTTTTTAACCATCTGAATAATAAGTCTCGTAGTAGAGTAAAATTTATGTTAATTATGTCTTTTTAAGCATATCTATGATCAAAACAGTATTTGACGTTAGAAATGTTTTTATGCTAATTTTGTGAATAATAATAAGTAAATATGATATTAATTATATTTAGGCGCACTACAAACGAACAAGAGCACGATCCAGATCCCGCTCCGAACCCGCTAAGAAACGCATGCGTATGGAATCGATGTCACAATCTCGCGCCCGTAGTGTCTCAAGACCACCGCGAGATGAAATGGGTGTGAAAGATACAGTGGTAAGTTGGAGGAAAGATAATTGTAACAATGATGACTTCAGTGTCACAATGATCTGATTTACATTTCCAAGAACTTTACGGAGGATTAGTTTTAAATTTGAAAAAGCTACACTTAGAATGAGTATTATTGAACTGAATCATTCATTTTAATTGTTTCTTGATTTACACAAAGGCTTTTGTTACTTATTATATTTATTGTGCAATAAATACAAATTTGACATTATCTCGCGTTTGTTTCAGATGAAGAAAAAGTTGAAAAAGATAGCGCATAAGGCACTGAAGAAGAAGGTGGCTAAGAAAGGTCTCAAAGGCGAAGCTGATCATTTCATCGGCAATAAGATGCCGAAGCACTTGTTCTCCGGGAAAAGGGGACTCGGCAAGACGGATAGAAGATAAAATTTTTATATTCTGTACATTTTATTTATTACATATTAAGTATGTATAATAATTTATCACTCACTACATATATATGTAAGTATGTATAATAATGTTATTTAAATAAAAATGATTTGAATGAAATTGACACTTTGAATCGAGCGTTACGAAAGAGGTTTTATGACTAAGACGTCGTTTGAAATCTACCAATGGCAGGAGGGGTTATCTCGACACGACAGCAATAAAGTTTCATTGCGCGTGATGCCACTGCTTACCCCATTCGAGTTCGAAGGTTACCTTGTTTGCACCACGCGCATTCATGCCACGCCACGGATAGTCACAAAAATATCATTCTTCATTCGACAATACTATTCTATTTGTGACAATTTGTGATAAATTATAAATCGATCAGCAATAATGTTTTCAAGTATATACGTAACATTCCACGACAATATCTTAAATGCAATTTGGATGAAAAGCTACATTTACAAATAATTTTTACAATCGTATCTCTGGTCTATATCAATATAATGCTTCTTCAAATCAAATACATAATCCTCCGATTCTCCTCCTCTTCCCTCTCTAATTTTTGTCCTCTCTTCCGTTTTTGCCGCGTCTTTCTTTGCTCTTCTTTTTGCGGTAATCAGGTTTCCTGTTTCGAACATCATCCGGTATACGTGGAATATGATTTGAATCAATATATTGATCAATGTGTAACCGATTAAAGATAGACTATTTTCAGCGTTGGTTAACTGTAAATTTGTCGACAGAATTGTTAATACGGATAAAAATGTCGTCCTTAAAAAAATGTTAAATTTTTTTCTACTTTGATGACGATATTTCATTCATGCTGGCAATTTTATCGAGAAGTTTAAACCGTCGATTAAAGTTAACTGACGTCACCCTAAAAATATTTTTTATTTATAATATAATAAATTATACGTTATGACTTTGTATCAAATATTTCAATACTGGAAAATTTTTGGACAAACTACTTTTTTAGTTTTCATCATTTTCATTTTTGGTCTTCATGTGATCGATTCGGAAAGCTAAAAGTTCCTTGCAAGCCGCCTCTTTTCTTCCATCACTCCAAAATCGATAAAGGTGACAGAGATTCAAACAAATTACCATTAATAAAAAAAGTATTTGTGCAATATAAAAAGCGTGAGTGGGTAATAAAAATTATAATTTAAAGCGTACAGATAGTATTTCAACTTGTATGTTTATTAAGAAAAGACGAAGACGTTCATTCTGCTTCTTAGCTTATCAGTAGAATAGATATTGTCAAATTGAGAATAGTATTTTTGTGGGTATGTCATGAATGCTCATGGTTGCATAATCATGCACATATCGAACGGGGTAAGCAATGTGTCATGCTTAATGAAACTTTATTGCTGTCGTGTCGAGATAACCCCTCGTGTCGATGGTAGATTTCAGACCATGTCTTATTCATAAAATATCACTCTTTCGAACGCTCCACTTAATTCAACTAATTTAAAAAAAAAGTCTGAAAAAATTTCCAAAAACTGATTTTAAATATAATATTATAAATTTTTTAATTTTAAACAAGGTTTGTTCTAATATAAATTTGATTTGAAACTTAATGATTAAGGTATCTTATTAAAAAATAAATAATCGTGGAAATTATGGCTCTGATACTTTCGTTAAGAAAAAAATTGTAATTTTATATGTATTTTTTTTTAATTTATTTAAATATCAGCACAAGGAGGAAAAAATAAAACACGTCGATTTTTATTGAAAACTGATAGTTCATATATTTAAGACTTCGCTATAAATAGATTTCCATTATCAGATGTTTTGACAATCGATTAAGAGAAACAGGAATAATAACAAAAATGGCGCCGCTCGTGGTTAATTAGATCATAATTTACAATAATGTATACCGATAAAACGTCACAAGTTTTATACAATTTGATATCAACGCGTGGAGAACAATATTTCTTATAACTTTCTTACGCGTTTCTCGTTGAGTACAATATGTCGTTATATTTCATAGTTAAAATATGAATATTATTACCTCATAGAGATAGTTAGAACTTCAAATGCTCACTACATGCATAGGAATTATACGCGGCGGCCATCGATCAGCGTGAATTTTGTACAAAATGCATTGGAACTTTACAAGAACGTAATATATATTCACGATCATTAGATTACATTCGGAAGAATCGAGATATTTAAAGAATATACGAGATTCTCTAGTCATAATACTCTATAGGAACTAATAAAACCTCGATATAAAACAGGTTCGGTAGAGCGAAGACTTTAATTACGTCACATTATGTTAATAGACATCGACTCGTGACCTGCTTGTTTCGCAAAAGCCTACGTGATTGTAATAAATTAACAGATAGATATGCGCTATAGATAATGACATTATGGCGCTTCGTACGGGAGGGGAGACGCTCACCCGGTTAAAAAAAACGGATCGACGTGACTGTCATAGCCATCGGTCATCGTCGCTATAATTATATATCGCAAAGGTGTAAAGAATGGAAATGCCGTCGACGAAGACGCAGCGAGAATTCATTACAGCGACTCGCCTTTTTTTTCTTTTTTTTTTAACCAAGTCTGAATATAGCAAAAACGTTCTAATGATACAAAATACGATCGCTACATAATATATATATATAAGGAATATAATGACAAGTAAATATCGTTAGTATCACAGTCAATGTGCGAGACCCTCAGTGAGTCGCAGGGTCTAAGTGTTCGGTGATGCCTCAGATCGTTTGAATCGTACGAGCCTAAAAAGAAAAAAAAAAGAAAAAAAGAAAAAAGAAATGGATGTCCGAAGGGATCGGGGGCGGTAGATGCACAAAAATCCTAATATTGTTCGGACGACTATAATTCTCTTCCTATATTTCGCCTTTACTTATATCGTCGTTGATATTTTTAACGTTCCTTCACGCGGATGTGCGTGCGTGCGTGCGTGCGTGCGTGCCTTTCGGGCACCACCGAGCCGCGATTCGGACGATTCTTTGGTGAGTCCTCGGCGATGGTGAGACTGCTACGCTCCCTTGCTCCACCTCACGAACAGGCGCACTCCAGCACCTGTATGTTCTTCCAGTAGGACACCTTCAGCTGCGACGCGTCGTTCTCGTCGAAGTAGACGATCGTGAGTTGATCGAGTTTGCTGGGCGCGCAGCACGGCTTGGGCACCCGCTTCCGGTCCTCCTTCCACAGCAGGCTCTGCAGCAGCGCGTGGTGATGCGCCGGATTGTAGCGCGGCGGGCAACGGCCCTTGCAGTAGCCGGCGTCGAAGCCCTTCGGGTACACAATGAACTCGAAGCCCTTCAGATCCTTGAACATCACCGTCAACTCGTGCCGGCAGCACTTCTTGTTGTTGTCGCCCTTGCACTTGCTGCGCCGGCCCTTGTGCAGCGGCATCAACTCCTCGGGAGTGGATCGCTTTCTCCTGCTCGAGCCGGATTCCGACACGGTGAACACATTCAAGGCCGGATGGGAGATCTCGCGCCGCGTCGGCTCGCCGTCGTGACGGAACTCCAGCTCGAGGCCGTGGTTCTCCAGGTCCTGTTCGAGCCAGCTGACAGCCGCCTCGGTGGAATCCAGTTCCAGCCATCGCGAGTCCGCCGACTCCCGTTGAGGAACGACGTGCCGCAGCAGGAGACGCCGAGACACCGGCGTGCGCAAGTAGACCAGCGTCTCCAGGTCGCGCGGTGCTCGCCCGCCGTCGTCCTGGAGGAGGAATCTCAGGGACGCGTGATCGACCGTGACGTCCGCCGCGTCGCCGGAAACCGCGACGGGGAAGTACAGGGAGTGACGGTGATTCCCTCCGCTCCGGCTGACGAGTGAACCGTTCCACGGATGCTCTGTAAAACGCAAGACCTTCATGTACATCACGTGTATTGCGTAAACGAGCGGTTATGAATGGAAGTCGGAAGATTCGCGTCATCGTCGATTCCTCCAGATGACGAACTTGCAAAGACAATCGTTAATTCTGATCGCAACATTATACGATGCCGCAAGGTATCGATTGTGAATCATCAATAAAATGACAAATTGCCTTTGATTCCGTCGGGATGATTAATATCGCAAGTGTGATATAATGCGAACATCGTGCTCTGAAATATTTGAGTCCAGAAGCATCGCGTTGCGTGATACATCGAATTCGGAATTAATGCAAATTTGTTATTAATATCAAGATTTTGTAAATAAACATGATACACCACGCACGTGAAATAAAACGGGCGTAATTGATGCAATCGATATCGATGATAAAATTTAATTAATTTAACGGAGAACGCTACACGCGTTTGCGCGACAGCGCTCGTAGAAACGCCGCCTACGGGAGGAATGAAGGATAAGAAATTGCAGTCCTTGCGCGTTAATTGATATACGGGGGGGAAAAACTGGATTCATTCAGGTCGCAATTGAATTCTCGCAACAATGACACGGAAGACTGCGCAGGAGTTTTGCGCTCGTAATCGTGACTAAGTTTCTCTTTGTCGCGACTGTCAACGTTGACGCTTGCGCTCCCGGAGATCGACAGATTATATTCACGGTAAATTTAGCCGGTGAACGACAGTTCGCCTATTATTTACCGTTTACGCTATCGCAACGGAACTCTTACTTGACCCTTTACACAAAAGCGGGCGACCGAAAAAGAACCGTGAGATATTCACATTCGTGTCGAAACCGACGATCTCTCAACGTTGAAGCGCAATATTACGCGTTTTACAAATGTTTTCTCCTCAAAGTTTTTCTTTGCGCGTTTATTTTTTCCGACCATAAATCTTCTGAAAAAAGTCTTCCAGGAATATCACGTAATATCACATTTCGAATGTATCTAATAAGATAAAGAGAAAACGATTTGTATAGTTAATGAGTCGTAAAACAACGCAATTCTTTGTATTTCAATCTAGCGACTGTTAAATTAATGAGAAAATAATAAATAAAAATTACGCAGAAAAAGTGGGGGGGGGGAGAGATCATGACTTCACGCACAAAGGCGTGTTACATAAATGACAGGAACTGCTGAATTCCCGTCGGATCGCCGCGCGGAACATCATAATTGTCTCACGCGTATTTGCGCGATGCTGATGCACAAGCGCGTCGTTTCGCATTCTATTGCGCGTCGCAAACGAGCGCGGCAACGAGCGTTTCTGCTTCGGAATTCGCGCTATCGCACACGGCCCACGTATTGGCAAAGGGTAGCAGAAAGGTTTTTGCGATCGCGCAAGCCGCCAGATGGGTACTCGTCGCGCATAAACAAACACGGCCGCGCGATCCGATTGTGAGTCACGGAACGGTATTCGGCCTTCCGACAAAATCGGCGGCGTGTAAAACCCGTTATTGCCGATCGTTCGCGTGAACGCCGCGGAGATGTTTTAGAGATGAAGCGACGAGCGCCCCTAAATTTAACCCTCTTTGATACGCCCGCACGATGTAACACAGCCAAGTCGATCAAACGGATAACGATTCAATCATTCCCTTCGCGAAGACTGTCCATTAAATTTCTACTTCGGTCTTTCTTCTCAGTCATTTCACATTGCACGCCGTAAATAAATATTCTTTTTCCGCAAAGAATTTCGCGTGCTTTGAATTTAACGACAGCGATCGGAAAAATAGGGAGATTGATCGCGAGTCAATATCGTAACGCGAAACGTGCTAATGGCTCGGGATTATATTCGGATTGAAAATTTGTAAATTGCTCGTTTCGACGGCCGTAAAAGTCACGCCTGGAGAGAATATAAAAATCGAATCCGAGGGGAGAAAAAAAAAGAGGGGGGGGTAAAATAAATGTCCGGCTCCAATTGCCAGCCGGTTTTGAAATTCTCGCCTCTTCCTCTCCGCTCTTTTCACGCTCGGCGCTGATTAAGTTTTATTTATGAGGTCCGCAAGATTCCTCAGGAAAACTCTCGCGCGGCCATTAATTATCCTCGACGCACCGGCCACACACCGTTTTCCGAGATACATAGTCGCGTCGCGCTGGCTCAACTGGTTAGCGCCGGTATTACGAGTTGCGGCCGTTGATAATTATGAGGATTTAGGGTGAAAAACATGTCATAAAGGCCGGAAGGGTTTCCGTGTGTGTGCGCGCCGCGAGAGAGAGAGAGAGAGAGAGAGAGAGAGAGAGAGAGAGAGAGAGAGAGAGAGAGAGAGAGAGAGAGA